CTGGTGGGAGGACGCGAACCCTCTCATCCGAAGGAGGTGAAAAAGGAGGGAGGAGGGGGCATTGAGGAGCCATGCTGATCTGCTCTGTACCGTTCCAATTTGAACTGATGATCCTCGAAGGAAATCCCAGAGGAGGGGGCATTGAGAAGGAGGAGGAGGAGGAGGAAGAGGAGGAAGAGGAGGAAAAGGAGGAGGAGGAGGAGGAAGAACAGGAGGAGGAGGAGGAAGAGGAGGAGGAGGAAGAGGGCGCACCTACATGTCCGACCGCGCCAGTAAGGAAACATCAGACTGCAAAGCGGATGCAACAGACGAACACGCACAACTCGACAAGCGAGAAGGCAAAACACGTGCACCGAGGAGATTCGAGCGCTGGCGAATTACCGAAGACGAAGCCAAACTCAGGCGTCGCCGATAGACTGGAGCGGACGCGGACGGGGCTCTTCCAACCACTCCCCCCAGGTTGGGCCCTTGCCAACCTCAAGGGTCTTCGAACTCGTGGCATCCTTACGGGGCACCTCACCCTGGCAAGGGCCCCAGAGACGAGACCGACAAGCGGACGCCTGAGCCCTGAGCGGACTAGAACGCAAGTGTGCCAGCCAAGGAAACATGTTGTCCCCCTGCACTGGAGGGGCCTGCGGGGCCCTGAGAGGGCAGGAGACGAATGAGAGGACTAGCACCCCTCGCCACCCTCGCAGCCCCCATCCCGGGGGCCCCCGGAGGCCCTGTCCCTCTCGGGTGGCGGCGCACCCAGAATCGGGAGCGGCCAAGAGGGGGGTGTCCAAGAGGGGGGGGTGCAAATCATGACCGGCGGCATGTGCGCGGCCCAGCGGGGGGGCCAGGGACGTAATGAAATAAGAAGAGGCGCCATGAAATCTGGGGAAATATCATGGCCCCCGCCATGATATCCACCCCCCCTAGTCATCACCCTCCTCTTTTCCGCCCCCGACAGAAGTTCCCCAGAGCTCCCGAGAGGCCCGGGAGAGGCGGCGGGGGCCTGCAGGCGGGACGCCTTCCTGCGGACGGGCCCCCCTCGAGGCCTCGCTCTCGCCACTGCTCCCGACGCCCCCCGGCGTCATTGGAGCGAGGCGGGCCAACTTACAAGGTTAAGTCGGGCGTGTCCCCCTACAGGGGGATCTTGGGCGACAAATTATAAAAAATACCCCAACAAAAATATTCCAAAAATGCTCAAGAATTGTCAAAAATAATAATCCCCAGACTATGTTTGATGTTTTTTTCTGACTATTTGGGAGCATTTTTGAGTATTCTAGTTTTCGTCGAAAAGCCCTCTGTAGAGGGACAGGCCCGACCTAAGTATCAGGGCGACGCGCTCGAGGGGGGAGGAGGAGGGTCGGGCGGGCAAGCCTCGTGACCATCCGGCCGCGCAGCCCTGGCGATCGGACGGCACGCCTCCGAGAGGTCGAGGTCTCTCTGCTCCGCCTCCGTCCCGAACCTCGCCCTCGGAGAGGGGGAAAACGACCAACCGACCAACCAACCAACCAACCAACCAACCAACCAACAAACAAACCAACCAACCAACCAACCAACCAACCAAACCAACCAACAACCAACAAACAAACAAACCAACAAAACCAACCAACCAAAACCAACCAACCCACCAGCCAACAAACAACAAAACAGGCGCTGAGAGCCCAGACGCGAGACCGTGGCCGAGGGCGACGCGCGTGCAAGCAGAGAGACCGATCCGTGCTCAACGACACGCGTGGGTCTTCCCCCGGGGCCTCACGGGCCCAGGACCACAGGGCGCCGGCCGTGGAAGGGCCAGCCGCGGGATCCTCGAGACGAGGTCTAGACTTACGTCGGGCCTGTCCCCCTACAAGGGGGATTCTCGACGAAAAAATCGCCGGCCCAACGGGCCAGAGGCGTGCTAAGATCTCCGGTAGCTACTTAACAATATGTATTTCTACTTCGCGCGCGCGGGGCGGCCCGGGGGGCCCCGGACGAAGAGTACCTCGGCCGATCCCCAGCTGGGTCCCGGGCGATCCCCAGGGGGGAGGCTATTTTTCGCCACCCCTCACGAGGATCGTGGCCTCGGAGGGGGGGGCTGCAATCGACTACCCCCCCTCCCGCCCCAAGGGGCTCCCAAGAGCCCCACGAGAGGCCCCAGGGGGGCCCGATACGCCGCCAAGGAGCCCCAAGACGCTCCCAAGAAGCCCCCAAGACGGCCCCAAGAGGCCCCAAATAGCGCTCCAGGGCCGGCTGAATGAGCGAAGCGATTTATGTTTATTCTTATAGAAAAATGCTCCAAAAAGGTTATAAATATTCAAAAAATTGTCCCCATACTACTTTTGGACTACACTTGGACTATGTTGGGGGTACTTTTTATTTTTCGTCGAAGATCCCCCTGCAAAGGGACAGGCCCGACTTAAGTCTAGACCCCAGGGCGCGCGTCGACCTCGTCCGAAGAACCGCCGGGGGGGGCCCACAGGGCCGCCGCACCGGCCACCGAGTGCACGCGCAATACCTTACGCCACGCGCGCCACCGCTCGCGCGAGCGAAGCGCGGACATCGATGGCAGACCCGCCGGTTGTGGCGACGCCGCGCCGGTGCGCGAAGGCTGGCGGCGCGGGCGGCGGGGGCGGCGGCGGCCCGCCGCTGGCCGCCGCGGGCAGACCAGTCCTCGCCTCCAGCTGGAGCTGCAGGCCGCACCGCCGCGTGCTCGGCGGCGGCTCGACGCCGTCCGCCGCGAGGGCGCCGTCGAGGGGCAGCTTCGACAGGTTGCCGATCCACGCGGCCACCTGCTCAACTCTCAAGAAGGGCCTCCCGATGGCGCTGAACGGCCTGTCGGGGGGAGGTCGTCGTGCAAACGCCTGCCAGCCTTCGGTGCTCCGTCGGCCTGGTCGCCGCCCGCCTTCCCCCGGGGGACGTGGGCCTGGCGGGATCTCGCACGCGAAACGAACGGGCGGGCCTCGGCCATCAGCAGGCGCCGCGCCGCCGCGCTCGCAGATGTAGCGCCGCCGCTTTTGCGCAAGTCGACACTCTCACGGCGAGGGCACCCCCGCCAACGACGGCCCTTCACCGGGCCGCCCACGAGGGGCAAGTGGTCGGTGAAGATGCGGAGGGGCTCGATCCCGCCTGCCAGGGCCTGGGGCGCCGCGCGTGACTCCGCTCGGAGCGACGTCTAAGGGGGCCCAGCGGTCCGTAGGCGGAGCCCCGAACACGATCGCCATCCGCGACAGCGAAGCCCCATCCAGCCCGCGCCGCCACGCCCCGCTGCGGGAGCTGCACGCAGGAGCCGTCCGAGACCGATCGCACCTGCGATGGCCTGGTGAGGCGAGCGATCGCAGCGCCAGACGCCCGACGCATCCCGCGGTGGCATCGCTGGCGAGGACGACCTCGGGCACGGGTCTCTGGAACAGAGAGAAATCGCCAGGCATCGTCTCACAGGCCGCCCGCATGGGCGCCATCGCCCACGGCCTGCCCCCCGAAGACCATCCGACCGAGGGCAACGCCGATGGCGCCAACGACGACGACGAAGCGTGCCAGACGCGCGCCAGCAGCGCAAGCAGCACGGGCGGTTGGCACGCTCGAGCTGGCGGGGGCGCTGCTGCGAGAACCGCGCGCCGATGGCCGCCCTTCGAAGAGCAGCTCGGGCCGGCGGGCCCAAACGCCCTGCGCCTGGCGCGCCTGCTTGCCGGCAGGATGCCGCGCAGCGGAGCCAAACAGCTGCCAGCGGGAGCTCTGTACGCGGGGCCAGGGGCCTCAGACATGCCCTCGGCTTCTGGGCCGCCTCTCCCAGAGGACGGTCTCCCAGTCCTGCGGGGCCGGCCGCTTCACCGCTGACGCGGCCATCTCGCGCGCGCCCCATGCCCCGCCTGACCGCGTCCTCACGGCGAAGGCTGTGGAGCGCGCCCATCCGAGATGCCGACGGGACCTGGCCAAGGCCCCTGCAGGGCCAACCACGAGCTCCCATTTGCGGTCGGCAGAGGCGACATACCTTGAAGAACTGCGCGCGCCAGGCCTTCTGCGCGATCTCGCGGGGTACCTCACCGGCACGCAATATGCAGGACCAGTTGTGGACAGGACCGACAACTGCGACGCGTGCTGGGCGCAGCTCGGGCGCGGGGTCCAGCTGCGAGGCGATCCAATGAAAACTCCCGCGCGGGATTAAGGCCCTGCCATGCTTCGCAAGCGTCGCCATGCGTGCGAGCAGCATCGGTGAGGCACCCCTGATGCCCAGGCCGTAGGTGATGGCAGGCCCCGCGGCGGCACGAGCCACCTTCTCGAACTTGGCCCCCAAGGCGGCCAGCCTCTTGAAGTGGCGGATGCGCTTCTGCATGACCTTCAGGCGCCGTTGGAGTACGTGGTGGCCCACGAGCTTGCCAGCAGCCACCTTCAAGCCCAGGACCCCCAGCCGCGTCTGCGCGCGGAAACCAGATCGCCGAAGACGAGCGGCGACCTGAGGCGCAAGTGCCCAGTCTGAGGCTGTGGGTTTGGCTTTGGACCTGGCAACTGGCAGGAGCTTGATGGTCTCAACAAGGGGCTGATGTAGTTCCCGAAGTTGGCTACATATCTGCAGCGTCAAATCGGTTGCGAAAAGGTCCCAGGAGCGGTCGATCGTGGCTGTCTGGTTCATGAAGGCGCCCATGGACGTAATCGCAAGGAGCCGCACCAGGGCCATGGCGAACTTGCATATTGGCAGGACCCACCGCGTAGGAGGTCGCCTGCAGCCAAACCAACCGCCTCGGGGCTCGGTGCATCGCCAGGGCACAAGCCATAAGTTGGCGAGGAAAAGCAAGTCGGCGCCAACATATTCGGTCGAAGCACTTCGCGTTCTAAATGATGGCCGTCACAGCTCCAGCAGCATCAGACAGGGCCGCCTCAGCGGTGACGAGGGCCCACGAGGCGACGTCGAGCGTCCTGCCCGTGGCGAGCGCGAAGTAGGGCCGCTGGTGGGCCAGTAGCCAGTCCTGCACCTGCTACCCCCGCACCTGCGCCCACACTCTGTAGGTGTCCCAAAGGGGGGCGGTGGGCCGCCAAAC